CAAGGAACAATGAAAGAAAATGCTGTTATTGGAAATGAATTGCTTTCGCAAATGGAAATTATTATAAACAAGAACGGCATATCTATGAAAAGTAGCAGAAAATGAAAAGGAAGACGAAAATGAATCGAATTTAATGTATATAAGTGTTGATCAAGAAAATAGATTAGATAATTGTTCGGATATTAAAAAAGCATATAGGTCGGAAGTTAAACACTTAATTCAAAGATATATTGCTAATAAAACTGAGAACCATGCAAAAGAAACAGATGTAGTTGAAGATGAATTAAAGGAAGAGGAGTCTCGGAAAGAAAAAATTGCTGCTAAACATGGAAAAGGAAAATTGAAAAATGTAGAGGAACAGAAGAATTCGATTTCTAAAGGAAGAAGAAAAAAATCCACCTAGGAAAGTTCAGGAAATCAAAGAGAGTAATAGAAAAATTAATGATTCCAAAAAACCCACTTCAAAGCCAAAGAGTTCTAGAAAAAGAAAGAATTCAGAATCTGAGAAACTAATTGAATATAATGCTGGTGAAATAGAAATATCAACAGTAAGAAAGAGTAAACAGCAAGAGAAACTTCTAGCTGAAGAACTAGATCCTGGTATATCTGAAAATCTTAAAGGAAGACAAGCCAAAGGAAAGTCTACTAATATTGAAATGCTTAGTACTTTAAAACATGACCAACTTATTTCTTTGAGACCCAGACGTTTACCAATTATAGGTAAAGAGCAACTTAAGCAGGAAAAAGCTATTTTACAAATGGATTTGGATGCTCCTGAACAACGTTAGATCTTTGGAAAGAAAAGTTTCCATATCAGAAGAGACTGTAGAAATATTACAGAAACAACTATCAGAAGCAAAGAATGAAGTACAAGCTGCAAAATTTCACATGAGAATCAAAGATAAAATCCTGTCTGAGAAAGAAAAAGAAGTTCAACATGTTAACCTGAAAATGCAAGAAAAGCTACCTTTTGAAAAGGATCGCACGAGAAAAATTATGGAGAAGAGATTATTTGTTAAACAAGCAGAATTGAAAAGAAAAATATGTATCACTGATGAAAAATTTCGTCAGCTACAAGAAATTCTTAATGCCGATGATTGGGAATATTACGGAGACCTGTGAGATGCTGCTGGTTTTCCAACATCATCTAAGGGAACTTCAACTTACGAATCAACTAAACCTAAGACAAGGCCATATAAGAGGCATAAATCCTCCCGTGAAGAACCTTCAGTCCCAAAAACAAGATTTTCTAAAGCAATATTAGCTGTTAATTTTATATCTGGAGTAAGCAAACAGAATACTTCTAATTTTCAAGCAGATACTGATTATAATTCTGGAAAAGAAAACATTAAAGAAATAATTGACGCAGAAATTGATAACAGTTTTGAAACTTACCGAGAAGAGCTCCGAAAAGATGCGAAGAAACAAATATTTAAGGTACAGGAAGAAAATAAGAAAGCATATAACCTTCGAAGACGTTCTCCAAAATGTTATAAAATTGATGATTTAGTAGCAATCAAAAGAACGCAATTAGGACCAAACCTTAAGTTAAAATCAAAGTATTTAGGCTCGTCAAATAAGATTATCAAAGTAAAGAATAATGACACCTATTGATGTAGTAAAAGGAAAGAGATCAGTGGAAGGTACCCACAGAAACAACTACATGCGCTGAATACATAAAACCACGGACCCAAGCAGAAAGAAGATGTATAAAATAATACTGATTTATGACATTTAAACCTGGAGTGATACGACTGATAACCGAACTATGATTTTTCACGTAATAATGACTTTTATTTCAGTTACTCTTCTTTTTAAGATGAAATGAAGTTTTCGAAAATTGTTAAAGACTGAAGAAATTTTTCGATTTAGATGAAATTTCTGAAAAATAGAAGGGAACTGTTGACGAGGTTATAATTGCAAAGACGAAGGATAATTAAGGATGTTTCCTTTCAATACTGTCCTTAGCACACACAATCTTCCCCTCTCCCTTGGTATTTCTTTTCAGGTTTAGGCTTATTCTTGATGATGGTTCTTTTACTGAAGACGACGATGATGTAAGATGACCAATGATTTATGATGTTAAGAGTAGAATAATGTCGTCGAGGTCGACGCATAGCAGGAAGGCCGAATGTGGGATTTTAAATCCATAGCTTAATATTTTTCCTCGCGCGCTGTCTGAATTTTAGCTGTTGACTGCACAACTGAAATTAATAGAACTCTCGCCACTTTGTTTTATGAGAGGAGATGTAAGATGATACAGATATAGTATTAATAGATAAACGGTGTTATAGATGCTGTATTAATAGATGAACGATCTTATAGATGTATTAATGTTTTATTAAATGTGTGTTGTTTGAGTATGAATTGTGATTTCGAAACTAAAGAACCCACATACATATATTACTTTAGTTTGACAGCGAAGTTAGGCATTTGGGTAGTGCCCTATATACTAGAAACTTGATCACTTTCGGAGATTGTCACTGTAAAATGACGTATTTCAACGCATATAATAGTAAAAATACGTCACATATGATTTGCATATCCTTGTATGGAACATTTTCTTCGATAATGATACTGGATGAACCTCATGACATCAGCCATTTTTTAGCAGACTTTCATTGAAATTTTTAAAATATTTTTTTCTAGAGTATTATTAACAGCACCACATCAATGACTCTCTTTATGTCTATGTATTCTTAACACAAAATTGAATGACCTATTGGTATTGTACCAAATAAATTTATATTGAGGTGGTGGACACTCTAACTCCTTGACATACCATGATGTCCGGAAGACATCATTGATTTCATTGTAAACTTTGACGTCTCCAAGAAGTCAAGAACTGTCTTCGGCCAACAGCGCACAGTATATTATTATTGTTATATAGCAATTTAAATTTGAAAATAAAACGTTGTGTTTCTAAGCTTGCACATGAGTGTCCACAGTTGAGCCAAATTAAATGGTATACTTCGGACGTGTATTTTATTTGTGTGCCAAGGGGTTAAACTCCACTTTGAATTATTGATGAACAATCACTATTGAGTTGTTTTATAATCTGAAATTCCTAACTCTTCCATTAAAGCTTGTACGCTATGGCACCACACAATTCATCATCACTTTGAAAGCATTGCAGAAACGTATTTTCTCTTGATATCTCATAATTTTCTCTTGATTGCTAAAGTAGGATACTTTAGCTCTTTTTTCAAGCAAGTTTTTCTTATGCAGTCTTGATGCTAAGCTTTGAAGCTTTTTTGGATAGTCTCAAATCTCATGCCAAATCATTCAACTCATGCTGGTCAAATTCCTTACAAACAGAATCATCTTCAGTTTCAAAATCTTTGTTGTTATGGTTAATTCAATATTCATCAGAATATTGAATATATTACAATTAACAACAACCTATATTTCCAAACAGAGTAATTCTTTGACAATGATACTTATTTTACATTTTTTTCCTTGTTATATCCTGAAGTTTTCACTATACAAAAGTAACAGTCACTTGAGTTATCCTTCAGCTCTTGCCAAATCATAGGTATACCAAATGGAAATTTAGAACATTCCTTTCATTCACATCCATAAACTCTCGATACATTGCTTGCACACTTTGCAAGAGACCCATGATTTATTTTGATCACCAATTTTCACTTTAAAGTAGGCTTGTCTGTCAATTGTACTAATGTTTGTCTTTTGACTGGGAATGGTAAAACTGCCACATTTATAACAAAACGAATCAGGGCTGTTTAAACACTTATGACATGATCTAGCAAAGGAAGACATAAGGAAAAGTTTCAGTTCTTGTATAAATAAAAACTAAACACTGCTAACCTTGTTACAAACAAGAACTCGTACTCCACGTCGGAATATGCTTTGATGTATCAGAGAGATATACATCTCACTACAGTATCTCAGATATAACTGAATCTAGACAAGTATGCATCTGTTGGTAATCTTCTAAGGTGTCAGTCATCCAGCACCAATTGAAGGTGTTATGTTTATCAGGACAGCAGTAGTACTTTCTATGATCCATCTCGATGCCAAGGAAAGTGGTTATATTCACTTACGGTAGAGGGGGGAAAAACTTGACGTGGTAGAAGAAAACAAACTTTAATTTTGAAATCAGCATGCCTATTCAAATCTAAAACAGCTGAAAAATCAAATTAAACAGAAACTGTGTTATAAATTTTTCTTCAGTGTTTCATCTGTTTCTATCTTAAACACAGTTTCGATTTGGTTGTGCTACAATACTTTATGGCAGGATGCATACAAAAGGGACTTTCTAAAAGAAAACAGATCATATTTATGTTACACATGAGATAAAAACATCATGCAGCCAGGTTTCTCAACTTGTTAGCTGTATAATTCACACAAATTTTGCTATACTATGCAAATGCATACTTGTACTATGCAAATGCGCAAAGAGCACGTCTCTAAAAGGCCTTATAATAAAGAATATTATTTCCTTTTTTTAATATATGCAAGAGTAATTAGGTATTTTTAATAAGGTAATAATAATAGGTAAGTCAAAGAAATAAGCAGTACTCTTGCCAGAATTCAAACATCTGACCTTGTCATTGCCAGCCTGGCATGCTACCAATTACACCACAGAGCAGGGGGACCCAGTAGCCAAGTGGTGGAATTATTGTCTACCAAATTTTACTTTGAACATCACTGCATAGTCTATTAATGCCTTTGGAGTGAGAAATCCACAATGCCTTTGCCAGGATTCAAACTCCAGATCTTCCAACTGCTAGCTGGATTTGCAACCAGTCACACTGCACCATACAGAAAAATTTCAATATAAATTAGTGGATTATGAATACACAGAAAAGTTACATGATATATTGGTTATTTCTCCCTTTATCTAATTTCTAAAAGTTTTAAATGGATTTTTTCCAGTTTTAATTTTCGAGGGTATACCCAATGTAAAATAACTAATCGTTTAGAAAAATATATTTGGCAAACTGACTTCATTGTAAAGAGAAAATAACAGAATTCAGTTTTAGAGTGAAAAATATTTTTACTATGTACAGATACCCATATGGCTTCTTTCATACAATTAGTTTCATATAATTTATGTTTGCAAAACAGATGCCTAGAGTCCTAAGCATATACAATCATTTGTACTTTAATTAACAATTTGTACAATTTATATTTGATACTCCTTTTAACACCAGGTACGTTACCAGTCATCTTGAGGCATTACATATGTCTCATTATCTTTCTTCAGAATTGTCAATTTTGGTCCAAAATAACTGATTACATAATGTGAGCCATCTGAAGGACCAACAACCTATAATAGAAACAAAATTTAAGAACTACACAGAAATATACATCCGACAGTCAAAATCTTTCTAAAACTTTACATGACATTTGCAAGAAACTGGATGCAATAATAAAATTATAAGTTCACAATAAAATTTCCATGGTTTTCTGAATTTAATTCTTTGCAGGCAAGAGAGGCATTTAGTAATACAACTGCAAAGATGGAGGTTACAGTACCTCCATAATGCATTTCATAAACATTTACATAACTTGAATATTAGGTTATATGACGTTATAAATTGTTCAAGTGTAACTTTATAAAAAATTACAGTATTTATCATTGTTACATGTATTTGCAAACACTTATATATATGTGTTTTTTTTTTTTTTTTTTTTTTTTTTTTGTGCGTGTGTGTATAAATATTATTTATATGCTGTTCGGACGGTGTAGTGCATCTACTGTGATACTGAATGGTCCTGGAGAAGGCATGGCTGTAATTCTCCGTTCCGTCATAGGAGATAATGATGGCCCCACCTATTAGGTGCTTCCACAATAAAGTGTTCAAGCCTAAGTCGGTGACAGTGGCGTAGCTAGGGTGAGGCAAGGGGGAACATCTGTCCCCGGGTGCAGCATCCAAGGGGGGCCAAATTGATGCTACTAAATTTTTAATGAAATATTTCCATTTTTGGCACACAAAAAGGGGCGCAAATTCTTAAGTTGTCCCCGGGCGCTGGAAACTCTAGCTACGCCCCTGGTCGGTGAAGTGCTTGCCTATGGATGGAGAGGGGAAATATTATTTATATAATAATGCTTTATAAATGAAGGATGTTACTAATTTTTCAGTGCTGAGAAGAAATCATGTTCAAAAGTTTTATTCAAACTTTGTGTGAAGGTTTCTATTTCATCTACTTTAAATTTTACATTCCATGTTTCTCTTCCAATTTTATTTGCTTTAAAGTTTTGCCACTAAAACTGAAAGAATAGGGAAATAAATTATCAAATTAAAACGGACAATACTGTTATGAATTTTGTGTAATGTAAAATGAGCAACCTCAAGAAATGTGAAGCTTTGCAATAAAAAATAAGAATGCAGGGGCAAGCCTATTTAACACTGAAATAAGTAATTTAAGATACAGACAAGCTGGTGATGATTTTGGCAACTAATTTTTGTCAGCAAATTTAGCAGAAAATTGCCAAACATGGCAACATTTGGGTCCGGCTCCTATACAACTGTAATTGATAATGTAACTGAACAACTGTAATTAATCCCTTTAAATAACTGTAACCATATCTGGCCCTTATATATTATTACGAATTTTGTGCATAGAAAGATAATTTTAGTGAAGTTATACATGAAATTATTGTACTTTTCTGCATATAATGTAACATGAAAAGCTGAGAGAAATGATGCTCCATCAGAAAAATAAGAATACAGGGGAAAGTCTATTTAACACTGAGTAAATTGCTATCTTGCTAACTTGGAGAGATATCAACAAGCTGGCAATGGCTTTGGTGACTAATTTTTGTCACAAAATTTGACAACCTTTTTGTCCAGTCCCTGTATTACTGTAATAGGTATTGTATTTCATCCTCTATGTAGCCATAGTGGTATTTGGCTCTCATATACCTTCCAGTAATTTCAAGAAGCAGAAAGTGTTAGAAATATCTTGGCGGCCGAGTGAAAATAAATAAGACTAGAGAGAGCATCAGTTTCTCAGTTGAAGTTGTTGATAGTTCATGGTTTGGAGAACTGAAATATCTCTGGGTTAGCTTTGTTCTTTAGATGTGCTTTGTTTTGCATTGTGTTTAATGTTCTTAGCAGTTTGAAGTGTAACTACTGATTGTAGTTTGTGATATTGTATTGTGAAGAATTTTTGTGGTACTGTTATTTTTGCGAAAATTTCCAGAATTGTGAAGTGTTTCCTTTTATAAAATAAATTTTATCATCCTATCACCGGAACTGTTTGCATTCAATCTATTACGAATGTGTATGCATATAAATGCCTTCTAAAAACTTCAGGACTCAGATATTTAAATTTATAAATTTTATTCCATTTGTAGGGATGATTATTTACTTCATAAAAATTAGTACTGTTCCTAAAGCTTAACTTGTGCATTCATGTTTTATTGCCAAGGTCCTCCCCCTATGAATGTTGAAGTCTTACATGGAAGTATTTTAGCTTTTTTTTTATTTCATTTTATGAATTGTTTTTCCTGTAACTCTTAGCAATCTTTGTGGCTATAAAGATTCCATTATTTATGGCTACATGATTATTTCATAACGTTGGTGATTTACTCCAATTATTTAGCACTTTTTTCTGAAGTTTCGGTCTAACTTATTGTTATTTACTTTGAATGTTAGCTGTGCATGAACATCCTCTCTTTTTCTTTTCCTTGATGATGTGGTCTCAAATTATGTAAGAATATCTACTTTGGTCTGGTGCTATGTTCTGGAAAATGTATGAAAATCTGTTTTCGTCAGAGGTTGTGTTTCTTTTTTATTGCTGTCTCAAATTTTAAGCAAGCATATTGCCTTGTATTCCATGCTTGGACTTACCTTTTTTTTTTATTTTATTTTTTATTTTTGCTTATCTTTCTTAGCTTAAAGTTAGCTTCCTACCTAGATTTTAAATTGTTATCAAACTGGAGCCCTTTTTTTATTTTATTTTTCTCCCTTTGGCTTTGCTAGCACTTTTAACTAGCTCAAGCACACTTCAAGAGTTTTCAAAGCACCATACTCCTGAACAGAGGATTTTTATCTTTGTGTTTCCCTCTGATAAGAATGTTCAGGAATGCTCAGTTATTGGAAGGAAGCATCCCCTCCTTTTCTTTAAACCTGTTTTAATTTAGGTTAGGTTAGTAACAGGTGGACCGGAAAGTAATGTCATTTTTGCGCATGTCAATATTTGATTGTCATTTGGCAGCTCAGTGTATCTCAAAGGGTAATTTTAAGGTTATTGCGGCTTGCTCACTTTTAAATAATTCAATATTAATTTTTTTTTTTTTTTTTTTCAATTTGGGGTGAAATGGCCAGCGAAATACCAGAAGAGCATATCCGGCATTGTATGCTTTTTGAGTTTAGCAAGGGTAGTAACGCAAACAGTTACGACCAAACACATTTGCGATGTTTATCTACATGCATTAATCCACATTCATAAATGCCAAAGATGGTTTTTCAAGTTCAAATGCAGTAGTTTTGATCTCTCTGACTCCTATCGATCAGGAAGAACAACAATAGACAACGATGTGTTAAGGGCAGAAGTAGAAACAAATCCATGTCAAACAATAGAGGAGCTATCAAATACCCTTAACCAACCTTGTTTGACCATCCAAGAACATTTAAAGCATGATTGGAGAAATAAGCAGAGCAGGTGTTTGGGTCCCCCATAATCTGTCCGAAGAGAACAAAGCTAACCGATCCATCACATGCAACATATTGTTTTAACGGCACCACACAGAACCATTTTTTGATCGTTTGATTACTTATTTGATTAAAATGAGTCCTATATGATAATATAACAATCCTATATAATAATCCAAAATGCAAAAGGCAGTTTTAATGGGGGTTACAAAGGGTTTACATCCCAAAAAGGTGCTTCTGTATGTCGGGTGGAGTATTTGATTAATTGTTCACTTTGAATTGCTGAAATCTGGACAAACTGTTGATGCAGACCTTCATTGTGAACAACTGGATGGAGTGAACCATTCTTTAATCGAAAAATATCCGACGACTGTCAATAGAAAAGGCGTCATTCTGCACACGACAATGCAAGACCACACTGTGCAAGAGGAACACTGGAAAAAATTTATGAAATGGGGTGAACTGCCTCACCCACCATACTCATCTGATATCGTACCCTCAGATTTCCATTTATTCCGATCCCTACAACATTTTCTTAGTGGCAAAAAATTTGAACATTTGGATGATGTCCAAAATGCCATCTTGAGATTATTTTACTCAAAACCCAATTGACTTTTATTGGTCCGGGATTGAAAATCTGCACACTAGATGGCAAAAGGTTGTTGAAAACGAGGGTGATAAAAACTTATTAAAAATTTATTTGTTTGAATTTAATGTAAGAAAGCGACATTACTTTCCGGTCTTCCTATTATTTCCAACACTTCACTCAACATACTTTACGATTAGAATACATTAGGGTCTTCTTTACAAGGTGATAGGTCACATGGACTTCTCCATTATTCAACACACTTTTTATTGCACATTAGGATACATTCTTGGTTAGGTTAGTTCATGTTTCTCTTTCATCCTTTCCATCTCACTTAAGCCCATACTTTTTTTTTCCCCTAGACAGTATGTGCGTTATTTTGTTTTCTTTTTTTGACTGCCTTTTTTACCTGGCTTAAAAAACTTCATATCAAATGCTAGGATATTAATTTTACTCTTAAACAAAATTGCCCTCTTCTTATTTGCCTTTCCTTGATACCTAAGCTTGATTTATTGCCCTGGGGAAAGAAGGACTTAATGGGTGCAAAACAAGACATTTGTCTACTTTGTCTATCTGTCTGTTCATATATGCCTTCCAGTAATTTTGAGAAGTGAAAGGTGCTGGAAATTTCTCATCAGCCAAAGGAAAACTATATAGGACTGGAGATAACATCAGTTCTCAATTTTTAGTTCAGAGTTAACTTTCGTGTATTGACAGATCCTCATGTGAACATTGCTTTTCAGATGTGCTTAACATTACATTGTGTTTCAGCATTCTTACCAGTTTGAAGTGCTAACTACTGATTGTGCTCTGTCATACTGAGAGGAGCTCTATGAATACTTTTGTGGAAAGTTCCAGAACTGTGAAGTGTATGTTTTGTAAAAATAAATTTTATGAAACCATCATCTGTTCTGTGTGCATTCAATCCATTACGAACCCACGCGTACGCAGCAACACTATCTACTAGATTCATGGGAATCTTTACTTCCAACGGCAGCAAATAAATTTCAATATAATGTTTCATCACAAAAAAAATTCATTACATTTAATCACTATAATACAATTTAGTTTTTAGTCAATAGAATGATAAATATGTCAGATTGTGTTTGTTTAAATTATGTCAGATTATGTTTGTGTAAAGAAAAACAGATTCATACAATTCAGAATTTTGTTAGTTATCATATTCTAAAGACCAATCATCAAAAGCAGTTATACATTTTCCCCAAATTTTTTTGCTTTCTTGGGATTTAGGAATTTTTAAATTCATAATTAAATGATGTCTCAAGATTAAAAAAAAAAATCTTTAATTTTAAAAAAAGAGATGTTTAAATACGAAATATGTAATGTAAAATAAAGTAAAAATTATAGGTTAAAAAAAAGGAAGCAAATGAAACTATATTAAATTGTTTAATAAATTTATTTAATGTTATAATTCTATTGAAAAACATTATTTTTCCCAAAATTACTGACAGTTTTTGTAAATAGCTTTTAAATACACAAAAGCAATCTATTATTAGTTTATCTGCTGAAGAGATCCTATGGCTGCACACAAAAGTTACAGAAAACACAAATTTTCTTTTTTGCACTGATATTAGTTTCATGTAAAATAGTGCATTCTTAAAATTTCCAAATGTCAAAAATGAAACCTTATGGTCATCATAAAATTATACAGTAACATCAAAAATATAACACTGACATAACGAAATTTGTAAATCTATGGAATTTCATGTTAGTTTTCAATATTATCTTGTTCACAGCTTTGATAGCGGGTAGATTAAGTAACATCTTGTAATAAAACTTTTTATAAAGCAATTGTTTATGTTTGATACTGATCATCACATGTCGCATCATTCCATGAATTTGGGGAAAAATTTACCAAAAACACTCGGCATAAATATCATAATTTGAGATTTCATTTCCAAATCATTCAGTATTCTGATATTTTATTTTAATTTAATTACTGCCAAACTGAGATGCTGTACTGTGCCGAATTTAGTTAAAAGCGGAGGCACTTTCAAATTTAAAAAACATAATTTGTCAGATGAACAGAAATTTTTCATTTGTCTTTTACTCATTTAGAATTTACTTTTATTTTAATATATATATATATATATATTCAAATCCTAAACTTTCTAAGAATTTTCCTTGAGAATCAATCTTAAAATTTCATGAATCAATTGTCAAGATTCCTTGCAGGAGCATTTTTCAGTAAAATCACAAAATCAAAAGTTCATTCTCGAAATATTACGAAAATAAAGAAAAATTACCATTAAACACGAAGACTCGCACATTAGGAAAAAAGTTATGAGGATATTGTACTAAATAATTTTAATAATGCTCTTGCTTTAGAATTGCCATCCATAAAAGGAAACTGCTCTCTCTATGATAAACTGCCAAAGTCACCAACTGAAAATCAATCTTACTAATAAAAATATAGCTTTTAGAAATGGTGTGTGTGATTATGGCAAAGCCTTGAGGGCTATCTTCCTAAGGGGAAGGATGCCTTCGTGGAGCACTTTGTAAGGGAAACTGGCTTGTATACAAGTTACACATGGGGAAAACCATGTAAACGCCCATGCAGCCAGACCGTTTGCGGGATTCGAACCTCGGACCGAACTACCAGTGTTTAGCGACTTTACCGCTCGGCCGTTGGTAGGCTTCCTTTTAGGAATGGTACACAGGAACCATGGACTAATTTCCAAATGATGCAACTTTTACTGCTGCGTCTCCAAATGCTTTCATTTCATCATTGATATATCATCATTTGGTGCATTTCATGATCATGTTAATATATTCTATTATGAGGGAAAATGCCTTTTTCTTGAAAGACTAATACATAGGTTCAGCATCACCTTGAGGCATACCTGGCAGAATTTATGCACTGCTTGTGCATAAGAAATGAAAACTAAAGAAACTATATGCAAGATACAAGTGTAAACGAGAAACTACACATTAGGAATAAATATAGGTGCAATTTTGTTACATATTACTTTTCTTTGCAACGCTTTTTTATTTTTGTGTGTTTCTTGGCATTTTTTCATACCATACAATGTACGGTAATCAATTTTATTTCATGGTAACTAATAGCATAAAATTATAAAATTTATGTAATACTTTACAAACTAAAGCTAGAATTACATCATTAATATTCTAAAAACAACTATTATATTAACATTCTTTTAATTTTTTAAAAAATGGGAAAATGCATAGGGTCATATACAACATTAATTAGAAACTAATAATAATTAACATTAAATTGCAGCAAATTAATTTTCACAACACAGCACACCATTTTCATAAAAAAATCAGGGCAAAAGGATATATTAAGTCAGCAGCAGCTAATTTAATTTTAAGGATTACAAAGTTATATACTGCAAGCATATATATCCTATGAATATCTGCAGTTACTTGTACTTTAAACTGATTAAATATATTTTACATTTTATTTAGTTTAGATGTAGGCATATCACCTTTTTCAGCGTGGACTAAATTATTAGGATTAAATACACTTATCAAATGATTTTAAGACAACAACTTAATGAACAGAGTTGACAAGCAGTTTTGCTTATTTATGAATGTGCAGAGCCAAAAAAATTTTAAAGACAATACTGAATATTCCTACTGCCTTTTATGAAGATTTATACATAGTCAGTTCTTTGTTTTTGGTTGTAATTTTGCATTCTACTTAGTCAATGAAGAACTTTCATTGTCTTATTTTTTTTTTTTTTACACTGTTATGTAAATATAATTTTTTATTTGCATTTTAGCAAAAAGAAAATTAAAATTAAATTTTAACTTATTTTTCTCCCAATCCTCTCAAGTAAATAATATTAAATTTTTACTTATTTTTCTCCCAATCCTCTCAAGTAAATAATATTAAAATCATGTAAAACATATACTTACCATTTTTAATATAAAGATCAGCTCAAATATTTTTAATATTTATCTAATAAAAATACTCAGAGAAAAGTTCAGTAAAGATTCTTATATTTTAACTTAATGATAATAATTGATATAACTGACAAAATGTGGCTTTTACTTTTTAAACTACTAATAGCATAACAAAAACACAAAAATTATTAATAAAGCTTCTTCAATGCAAAATACTGTACTAAATTTGAAAAGTTATAATTGTGTAACTATTGCACAGCACATTAAAAATAATAATGTAAAAGAATTACCTGTAGGGCTATTAGTATTATATCAATTAACTGTCCAAGGAACATGAAACCTAATGTACAGAGTTTTGCTAAGCCTAGAAAATAAATACATGCATTATTGAATCTGGATGTGTTTAAAATTATTCACATTACATTATGCATTAATTTCTCTATATGTAACTGCACAATGGTTGCAGTTTAATACAGAAATGTTAAAAAATTTGCCATCATAAAAACTACAAAATGCTTCAAACTATTAAAATGTTTCAAACAAATTAAAAATTTGCTATAGGTTGCTTTTCTGAAACTTCATAGCATATGTCATTTTAATTATACTGGAACAAAATAATATTTTAAAAAGTGTTAATATTTACATTTTAAAAAAATTTGCCATCATAAAAACTACAAAATGCTTCAAACTATTAAAATGTTTCAAATAAATTAAAAATTTGCTATAGTCTGCTTTTCTGAAACTTCATAGCATATGTTATTACAATTATACTGTAACAAAATAATATTTTAAAAAGTGTTAATATTTATATTTTTAATTACAGCATAAGGAGAAAAAGTCCTCGTACAAAACATCATGCAAGAAAACAACATCATAAAAAATAAAGTTATTCAAAAACTTCGCAGTTCAAACACATCATGGTAAAAAATAAAGCATCTACAAATCATTGCATGACAATAATATCGCAAACATGCATTTTTAGGCTTTAAAAGTCGCAAATGCTTATTTGTATAATGATTTATGATCCCAAGAAAGAATAAGGAACATTTTTACTTTTATATTCCATGTTTTTTGAATTAACTAATAAATTTTTGCTGAAAAAATAAGAAGCAAGTTCAAAAACTAAAAATGAGTGGGAAAATAATGCTTAGTAGTTGAATCTTATGAATCTTATATAGTTAGCTAATACAGATCATTAATTAATTAATGTCTTTAAAAAGTTTTATTGACAATTTTTCATGCAAAATAGTCTAAAAAAATTAGAAAAAAAGATTAGTAACTGTATGCTGTTACCAATATTAAACTTGCTTAATTAATTATCGAATTATAAAATTCATTCAACTGTTAGCATTAGTAGCATTAACTTCCTACTCATTTTAAGTTTCTGAATGCTTAAGCTTCCTTATTAATTCTTCATCAAAAATTTATTTATTAATTAAAAAACATAAAAACAAAAATATTCCTCATTCCTTCTTGCACCCACAAATCACTATGAAAATATTTACAAATTTTAAAGCCTGGAAAACACATGTCTGCAATGTTATCGTCATGTGATGATTTGTAAGTGCTTTATGATACCAGGTGTACCATGATATTTATAGGTGCTACAATGATATTTTTGATGACGTGTTTAAAGTGTGAAGTTTTTTAATAGCTTTAATTTTGATGATGATGTTTTCTCCAACGATGTTTTAGAACTGTGATGTTTACTCCCACAATGTTTCATACCATAAAATTTTCGCCTTGCTTTATTTTCTCTGCGATGTTTTCACCAATAACTGATACTAAGTATCAATCTATTTGCTACTATATGTTTTAATAGCCACTGTGAAAGAAATTCAACGTCACCTTAATTGCCACAGTCAATTGCCAACAGAAAACCAACCCTACTTAACAACCCATTCTTTTAAGAAAGACATTTTACAATTTGCATATCACAAACAATCTGAATGCACATATTGATCATTTTTTCAACATATTCATTTAATAAAAATGCAGTAGCACTCTTTCGAGAGAAACATGTTTTATCTTGTAAAAGAATATACAAAAATAGTCACAAAATGAAGCTATAAATTAATGACAAAAGCATTTAGAGATCAACAAGATACAATTTGGCACTGCCTTGAATTGCACCTAACAGAATGGACATGATCACAATATGCAAAGCCTGACACCAGAAACTACATGCAAAGTGAGATCTATGAAAGAAATAAGTGTAAATATAATTTTTTTTGCATTTTATTTGTGTCTAAATTGTTTTTATTTTCATACATTTTCTGGCTGGCAGTTTTTCCTGGCTGCCCATTTTGGGTTATGCGGTTATCTCAAAGACAAAAAATTATTTATTAAAAAAATTTTTTGTTGGTTTGGTTTGGTTTATTTGATTATGGCAAAGCATTCAAGGGCCATCTGCCTAAGGAAAGGGATGCCTTTGTAGAAGACTTTCTAAGGGCAACTGGCTCGTATACATGTTTACACATGGGGAAAATCGTGCCTGTGCAGCCAGCCCATTCATCAGGATTTGAACTACCGGTTTTCAGGACTTGACCGTTTGGCTGCTACTTTATTTATTTTAAACATAAGAAAGAGTTTTCTACATGAAACTTTTCTCATTTCTTCATCCCAGCAATCAAGTCATAATACTCTACTGGGACTCAATATGGTTACAATTTGCAGCTTTCTTTGGAAGACAGATCGATGCGCATTTTGATCAATTCCATAATGGCGTTTTCATTATTATAAAACAAATTATTATTTTTATACAATCAATAAGCTTCGAACCACATCTTTAATAAGCATCTTTTCTGCTTTGAACAACAGCTAATAACTGAAAACAAAGCAAGTTCAGCAAGATTTCTAGAACAGTTACTTCTTCTGCAACCAAAACTACAACTCATTTAGTCACTCAGATTTATCTGCTCAATGTGCATCATTAAACATTACTTGCTTGGCTAAAAGAAACATTGGAATTTGTATGATGTGGAAAAGGATGTCTTTCCAAAAAATCTGCCTATCTGTCAAAAAAATCCTTTTACTAAGTATAATTGGTCTACATTTATACAGGCTGGCCAAATAAAACTCACCCAGGAAAGTGTTTCAAAAAGCTTGCGAAATGTACTCTAAACAGCAAAAAAAAAAAAAAAAAAAATTATTAGAAATTGGAATAAGGACAACTGAGTGCGAGATGTCCATGTGCAGTGACATAACAACAGCCAAATGTGTGACATAAATGAAATAAGTGAGTTTGAGTGAGAGGGGCAGACATGTTTAGTAGGCAGTTAGAATGAAAAGTGCAGACGTGCTTAGTGATCAGCTGAATGCAACACAAAATGGTTTAGTGATCAGTTAAATGCAAAACGGAGCAAATTAAAGGGTCAGGTGTACTTAAATAATCCTAACACAATGAAAAAGCTATAGCTGAACACTGAAAATGCTATTGCTTTCATACGTCAGACAGAACACCTCTTGTCTCTCACAGTCTGATAAACTGAATACAGCACTGCATTGACATTTCCAGCATTTTCTGTTAAAGACAGTTCTCCCGTTCATTAACAACAGGAAGTACAATGTCAGGATAATACACATTTTCTGAGCCAGCTTTATTTTGGCCACCTTGTATTACACATGAGGAAAGCTGTCAGAAACTCACACAGCCAAACCTTTTAACACACGAATAGAATCTTGAGCAAATTCTTAGTGTTTCATGACTCCAGCCATCTGTCAGCTGAATTTTCATAAAATAATGTAATTCACTGTGTCTTATATCTATTTTAGCTAAACCTTATTTTATGGTAATTACCTTCTACACTGATGAGGCAAACCATGACCATCCCCACATTTTTCAATGAACTTGTCTGGATGATGTGGAGAGCAAAGAAAAAGGACATCAGAGACTGTCCTGCTTCGTACATCAAAATCGGCACCAGGCAGTGGCTCAGCTTACAGCCCAGTACCATGCAGGTCCAACTGCAAGTGTTTCGGAACACACAGTTCAGCGGGCACTGCTGGATATGGGACTATGCAGCAGATGTCCCACTTGTTTACCTCTGACCAAGTGGCAGCCTACAGTGGGCCCGGGAACATCAAGACTGGATTATTGATAACTGGATGACAGTTGCGTGATTGGATGAATCATGATTTCTTATTTACCACATTGATGGTCATGTCAGGGTATGCCATCTTCCAGGCAAACAGTTGCTGTCCACCTGTACAGCAAGACAAACACAGGCTGGTGGTGGCAGTATTATATTATGCTTTGGGAGACATTCTCATGGGTGGCTCTAGGACCCTTAGTTGTAATAGAACAGACCATAAAAGCTGTGTACTATTTGAATATAATTGCGGATCAGTTGCACCCTTACTAGACACCTGTCTTCCCAACTAGAAATAAATCTTCCAGCAGGATAATGCTCCATGTCACAAGGCTCAAAGTGTGTTGGAGTGGTTTGAGGAGCATAAGCGTGAATTCCAATCTGGCTAGTTATGTCCTGGCCACATAACTAGCCAGTCTTAACTCAATAAAGCACATTTGGGCTGTCATGTCAGAATATCTCGACTTTGCGTGATCCCTGCTTAGACTTTTGGTACAACCTGTCTCCAGTCATCTACCAAGAACTTGTGGCATCTATGCCAAGGCAAATTGCAGCTGTTTTAAAGGCCACAGGTCTTGTTACTGAGTAGTTATCATAATGTTTTGGTTCTTCAATATATATGTACAGAAGATATCTGAAATCAAGGCTAAGTTATCAGCTCCTTTGTGAAGATGAAATTGTAACAAGATAATGAAATTTTGATTAGGTATAAGATAATGTAATTACGATGATGTAATTGCAATAATGATAAAATTTCTGAGAAGTTATTTACTCACCAATAGCTGGGTAACCCAAATAGAATCGATCCATACCAAACATCCCAAGAAACAAGGACAGTAACAAAGCAGTTTCAAATGAATATCCATTCCTTAAAATGAAAAATATTTATTATGTTTACAATAAATTGTATACAATATATTTAAAAATTTTAACTTTAAATATGTATAAAGAAATCATATAGATACCATATTTAAAGACAAAATATATATACCCTGTTTGGAGACAAATAATAATTAATTAATATATGAATATACATGAAAGCATACTTTCTATACATGAAATACTTTCTATACATAATAGAATACTTTCTATACATGAAAGCAAGTTTTATTTAGAGCATACTACATATTATTTATATTCTTGAAATGCACCCAATATAAGTTAACATTTCATTTTACTGTTATTACATATTGTTGGAAATCTATATATATATATTTATCTACTGATATAAATTGTCTTCCTAATTTAAGGGCCCACCAGCGGCCAAGCGGTAAAATCACTGAACACTGGTAGTTTAGTCTGAGGTTCAAATCCCGCGAACAGGCTGGCTGCATGGGCGTTTTCGTGGTTTTTGCCATGTGTAACGTGTATACGAGCCAGTTTGCCTTAGAAAGTCCTCCACGAAGGCATCCCTCCCCTTAGGCAGATAGCCCTCAAGGCTTTGCCATAATCACACACACTATTTCTAAAAGCTCCATGTTTAGGGGTGACAAAACAAACTAATTAAAAAAAAAATAATATCAAAACATATATTCTGATTGTCTGAATCTATAAAATAAAGGAACAGTGAAAAAAAATTAAATACAACAGGAATTGGCAAGCTTCTTGCCTTTTGTATATTTTGAGATACACATTAAGCAAGAATAGACAAGCTTCTAAGTTCTGGGTAGTGGGTGGGTATTTGTATACACAACACAAAATGAGAAATGCATGTCCACCACTGACAAAATTTAACAAGCTTTTTTCATCTTCTAATAAAAGAGAGTCAAATTTAAATCAATGCTTTACTTATGCAGTAACGTCTTCCGACTCCATTTGGATTGTGGTAGTGATACAGTTTTATACAATATATACAGTGTAGTGAAGGTAAAAAGTGCTTTTTATAGGTTAGTTAGTACTGCTTGTTGTACTTGCACCTTTGATATTTTAAGTTCACTCAACGGATTTTTTTCAAACACATTAGCTTTCAAGTATTTAATTGCGATTTTCTGGGGAACTGTTAAACTGATTTCAATACAACATTTTGCTACATGTATTGCTATTAATTGTGATTTTCTGGGGAACTGTTAAACTGATTTCAATACAACATTTTGCTACATGTATTGCTATTAACTTTGAAATTTCAAATAGGAGAACTTTCTGGGTAGTTGTTCTATGGTATACCCGACACGTATAACATTCCTCCCTATATTTCAACCTATTAGCTTTGAACATGCCACTTATGACTGTAGAAAAACTCATATACTTGTATATCAGAAATATTAATTTCCTCTATATTTCTTAGATTATAAAACATTTAAAGCTGGCAACAGACACAAATTTGCATGAAATTATACGCATTGCATTCTAGCCAGCTGTACCGATATACATCATATTAAAAATATTTAGAACTTCAAGCTTCATGCCAGTTTCATTTTCTATCAGAATGCTCCATAAGTATGCATGGCACACAGTGGACACAATTACAATACTTTGATCCTTTTATTTGTTTTTCTGGGAGAGAGAAATGCATGCATTGTATATAAGTCTGTGTATATCAGTAAAGTAAGAAGTAAGAAACAAAAACATATTTTTAAAAGTTAAACTTTAACAAAAATAATTTACATATATCATAATATTAGAATACAGCATAAGAAAAGTAAATAATAATGATAATAAATAAACAATGATTTTTTTATTATTATTTACAAGAAGTAGATAATATAATCACTCAAGTAGTGTCAATCCCAGCCTAACAAATGAACCACGTAGGCCACGTATAAAGAGAAACCTCTTCAAACATAATTATTATAAAAATCAAATACGTATGCGTATGTGCTCATATCTGAAGGATTTAAAAGTAGTTTTTTTATACACTGCATATCCAAAACTTCTCCTACAAATTCGTTGTAGTCTCCTACAAGTGTTAATAGTTTTGGGAATAATTTATTCAGCATTTTAGAAATTCTTCCTACACTGCAAATAATAACACACTCTATAAATTATTGATCTAATGTTAACAGTAGATTCTAATAAATTTCTAATGCTATTTGACAACAGAATTTCACAAATAAATTTGTTTTTCAGATAAAATAATATTATAAAACATACGTATATTCACAATCAATATCCTTTTCAAAAGTAGTATCATTCACACCAGTTCCTGCTTCGCAAATTATGCCTTCTGCAGTCACACAAAGAACTGCACAAAAAATAATAATAATAATATTCAGATGTCAGTTATTTAAATTTAATCATTGAAAATAAGTTTTGTACATTTACCAAATATATGTGAAATAGTAAAAACATATATATACACTTTAAGGTGGGGGAAAGACACTATTAAATATCTGAAAATTATTAGTGTTTTAATACTTTTTTTAAAACTTTAACTTATCTGATGGTGCCGGACAAAACTAACTAAAATATATATATATATATATATATATATATATATATATATTTCACATTCATATATCATATCAACAACAATCAATTGTATAGTGGTATTGGTTTAGTACAAGGGTGCGTTGTGAAGCCCACTAGGGAAAAATCCATAACCCCAAATTCAATTAAACTCCATGTTTCTTAAAAAGCCTCCAGGCTCAAACAAATGGAGGGACATGACAGACCACAGTAAATTACACACTCAATTAAACAAATGAAACATAAAATATATATCAAACACATTCATTAATTTCTAGAGTATAGTGTATTATTAGTAAATACTTGGGTAACTGCTTAGTAATCCCCTACCACATATTTTTCTATGCAAAATAACACATAATACCACACCAAATTACAGCTTACATTAATTAAGATTAACACTATCAAATCTTACTGTATCATAAGTGTAACACTAGTATTTATCCCATTTCATCTTCTAACTTTAAGCATTTATCATGGTAATTCCCTTTAAGAACATTGAAAATTTCCACATCAATTAATTAATTTAAGTAATTACTCAAATTTCAACAAACATTAAAATGATGACTCTTGCTTGAGTATTAAGATAATTATTAAAGTAAAACAAATAATAATAAAAAAACAAATCACTCATGGGGTGAAGTCCATACCGCACACACCCATTACTCGGGAATATCTTCGTATACTGATTAATAAGGCGATTTGATAGCTCCAAAGATCGTCCAGTGTCCAAAGTTTACTCGATCACCACATTATTCCTGCTGTCCTTTATTTACAAAATCCTCGTTAATGGAGACAGACAGTTCTTGCGAATTTTTGATTTGGTTGAAACACCACTGAAGCTGTCCTTACAATTAATAAATTCCAGAGCATGGAAGGATGAAAAACATTGACGCAGCTGACACAGGCAGAATAAACAGTCTCGCACACCTTAGACGGATCCTACACAAGTCTCTTTCATTCTGAAAGCCTCGAAACCTACCAAAAATGTAGAGCACCTTTGGAACAAAATCTACCGTAATTTCCGGAAGAAAGGCCGCATCAGCGTAAACGCCGCACTCGAGAAAAATGGCGGGAAAAAAATTAAAATTACACAGAAACGCCGCAATAGATTAAATTGCGCGTGACATCGTCGTGGGCCATATAGATGCAAAAACTCAACCTAAGTCCTGATATATGACATACCAGTTAAGAAAAATGCATGAAATGAAGCCATAACTCAAAAATAAATTAAAGGTAAGAAATGTACAGCTTCTGTGCCATTTAGAGGCATTTTCAAAAATTTTCCGCTCCCTTCTTACTTAAAAACTATTCAACAAGTACTTGTACCCAAACTGATGGGATCTGTATTTGGCAGAATGCCAAGAAAAATCCATTCATGCTGAAGGGGAAATACCTCAGAGTTCGTATTGCGAGGCAGGTGGAGTCGTGTCCGCCTTTGAAAAAAATTGCAGAAAAGGCAGGGGTGGGGAGAGGATGGGTCCTGGAAGATTCATCGAATCACAGAGGAGAGAGACTATTCAAACTGATGAGAATGTTGATTTGAAAGGGGGAAAAATATTATTGTTCTGAGATCTCATTTAGGGTGAATAAGGCATGTAGGTCCGTTCAAGGGAAAGAATGTAAACAAAATAACGTTCACAAAAAGCAACTGAGTGGTCTTTTATGTGGGAACAGCACCAGTCTATGCACAATGACAAGGCCATCCAAACTATGTACAATGACCATCATAGAAAATATTTTATTTTCAGGGCACCTAAACGCCACATGGGTAGAAACGCCGCACCCGCTGAAAATTTAAGTTTTAAACACGTAAACGCAGCGGCGTTTCTTACGGAAATTATGGTAATTAGTAAGTTAAAGTCGGGAAAAAACAGGAATACCGCATCAGGATCACCACGAGAATCTGCATTACAATTCTTGGAACAAGAGAAGCGAAATTCTACGCTGAGCTCTACACCTTATGACCACGCAAATTCTCGCCAGCTAAACGCCGAGAGAAAATCATATCCGCTGCTCGCTGGTTCACGCTGCCCGCTGTAAAGCAAGGCCGCAACAGGGCAAACGTTCTGATCTTTTTTGTTTTTCAGCTTAACTTCACATTGCAGGACTCAAATCAGACTCCAAATCCGACGCAATAGCTGGCGCTCGCGAGAGCAAGACCCGCAAGGGGTCAAGCCCCCACTCTTTTCTCCTCTTACTCTTAGCTTGAAAAAAAGAATCAGAATGAACTCTAGCTTGGTGCAAGCATCCAAGAAATCTCGGTTTCTCCACCCCTGTAAGTTCATAGGCCTACAAAATATCATCAAATTAAATCTTACCAATCCCGGAATTTTACGTTATCTAAACTGAGAAAATGACACCCCCATGAAGAATCAAAAACAAAAAAAATCTCACAATGAGCCAACATCTGTACTCAGGAAAAAAGTGAGAACTAAAGTGGGCCCCCCAACTAACAAGCGAAACTAAGCTTTACGAAAATCCAATTACCTAAGCTTAGTACACACCCACTGTCTTGAAGTAACAAAACTGCAACTACAACAAAGCGAAAGCAAGACGATTTTCATTTCAAAGTAAAATTAAAAGTAGTAAAATTAGTAAAAGGTGACAACACAACACCCTACTGCCTCCACTGTTCGTAAAAAGACCATAAACCAATAAACTAGACGTGTCTTGCAACCGTTTCCTGTCGTTGTTACACTACACTTTCAAGAACTACCAGTTAAATAAGGCTTTAACAATTTAAGAATACTCTTTTTACCAGATTAAAATATACACGAATACAAATAAAAAAAACTAGAATAATGAAACTTAAAATACATATTAATAATTAAAATTTGTGACATAACAACACACCAAGAAGTTGTTTTCCAAACAGGATGAAAATCGCATGATTGATGTACAGAAAAACAAATATATCACAATTTCAGAAAATTGGATGATTATTCAACAGAAAGAGCTTCACAAAGTGAGCAAGTAATAATGCGTTGGTCTACCTCTGGCCCTTATGAAAGCAGTTATTTGGCTTGGCACTTATTGATAGAGTAGGAAGATATCCTCCTGTGGGGTATCATGCCAAGTTCTCTCCAATTTGCATGTTTGATCAGCAAAATCACAAGCTGGTTGGACAGCTCTACCCATAATCCTCCAAACATTTTCAATGGGGAAGAGATCGAAAGAAATTACTAGCAAAGGCAGTGTTGGGCAAGCATGCAAATGCAAGCAATAGAAACTATTGGCATGCGCGGATGGGCATTATCTTGCCGAAATGCAAGCCCAAGATGGCATGATATGAAGAGCAACACAATGGGGTGTAGAATATCGTTGATGTAGTGTTGTGCTGTAAGGGTATCACAGATGACAATCAGGGGTCCTGCCATTAAATAAAATGGCATCCCAGATCATCACTCCTGGTTGTCAGGTCGTATGAGAGACAAGTTGGTATCCCACCATTGTCCGAAGCATATCCAAACACGTCTTCATTGATCATCGGGACTGAATTCAAAGCAGGACTGTTGGTTTGTGCATTAGCACTGAAGGCGTAATGAGTAAGTTTCCTCAAGTGCCGTTTTCATTAAAGAATCATAAGTCAAAAAATTAACTACAAAATCTTTATTTAACAAGTATGAGAATTTCTGCTTCACTTCAGTAGAACACCAATTAAAGTAACAATCTTCACAGACATTAAATCACTGAATTATCGAAAAGGAGATAACTTACATAGAATCATCATTCAGTCCTATATATCATCAAGCTTACCTATTTAGGCAATAAAAAAGAAACAGGAACATACTTTGACACCGTACCTGAAAAGAGAAAGTAGCTAACTGAAGTACACTCCAACGTGAGCTAAGTGAAAGTCAAATATACTGCATTGCTCGTGAACTTTACTTTCTCTCGCCAATATATAACTTGACGCACGTACGTTTCGTATGCCTTTCGAGTTTCATTATGCAAAATACCTAAATTTATGCTAACAAGGACTCATCATTGAAGACAATTCTACTCCAGCCCCTGATATTCTACTTCAAATGTGCCCAACATCCCTGCAGCTGGGCTTGTCGGTGTACAGAAGTTACTGGTCGTTGGTACAAAGGGTGCCATGAGCGGAATTTCCTTTTTGTGAACCACCTATTAATGGTCTTTATGATCATTGAAGCACCAGTTACAGGTATGATCAATGATAATGATGAACCTTGGGCTCTGAGTGCCACTCTGATGATTAATTAGTCCTCACAATCTGCCGTCTCTCTGGGCCAACTTTTTCCTTCTTGACACTATGTTCAGCCATGGTTCAGCCACTCCTCCCAACATTGTATAATGGTGGCATCGCTCTTATCCAAACATCAGGCGATTCGCCAAGTAGACCAACCAGCTTCTTTGAGCCAGCTACACGTGGAGCTCTTATTGTATAGATAGAGACATAACATCTTACTAACATATACAGAGATCTCATTGCTTTTTTACATTGCCGTGCACTTTTTACATAAAAAACTCAATACATCATCACATGTATTTTACCACTTGTAACTGTACCAATGTTAATATGCACATGTATTTTACCACTTGTAACTGTACCAATGTTAATATGAGAAAATCCTAATAAAAGTTTGGAGGAAGGTAAAGTACATTCCTGTCCAAAATCATCTTTACATGCATAAAATCACTGATTTCTCAGAAAGTGTTAATTATAATTTCATGAATTTGTGTGGAAAGATTCATAACATATAAAAGTATAAAAATTTAAGAGCACTGCATATTATATAAACTGTAGTA